ATACCTTTTTCTGGTCGGGGGCAGAAGGACAATTCAGGGGTGAGGGTTTAAAGTCGTCTCAGTCAAACTCCACCACTCCCCCTCGGCCCCGCGGGGGGCGCTTACGGGCACATCCCGGGGGGGGCGAGAGAGAAGGGGGGGGGGAAAAAAAAATATACATTGATCTGTGCCTCTCTCCTTTTTTAAATCCCATAACGGGGCTGTATCTGTGCCAGTAACTGTAGCCCCCCCCTCCTTCTTTATTGCCAATACCTTCCCTCTCTTATTTAAAGAACCTTCTCTTTCCCTTTATTGCAGAACCCCCTTTTCTTTTTTATTGAGAATACCTCTCTCTATCTTTATCGTAGCACCTCTCTTCTCTTATTTGAGCCACCCCCTTCTCTTCTTTACTCGCAGAACCCTCTCTTTTTTTTTTATCTTAGCCTACCTTCTTCCCTTTTTATTGAGCATCCTCCTCTCTTTTTTACTTCCCGTCCCCTCTTTCTTTACTTGCAGCCTACCTCTCCGCTTTTTACTCGTAGCCTCCTTCCTCTCTCTTTACTTGTAGCCCCTCTCTCTTCCTTCTTTATTCTGCAGCCTACCCTCCCTCTTTTTTTATTGCGCCTCCCTTCTCGCTTCTTTTATCGCGCCACCTCTCTCCTCTTTTTTTATTGAGCCTACCTCTCCCACTTTTTTTTATTTGCGCCTACCTCTTCTCCCCTTTTACTTGGTCCCTCTTTCCCCTTTTTCTTACTTGAGCCCCCTTTCCCCTTTTTATCGACCCCTACCTCTCCCTTTTTACTTGCAGCCTACCTCTCTTTCTTAATTGCAGCTACCTCCTCCTCTTTTTTACTCTGCCCCACCTCCGCTCTCTCTTTTTACTCTGAAACCTCCGCCTTCTCTCTTTTTTACTCTGGGCAAAACCCTCCCTTCTCTTTTATCGCCCCTCCCTTCTTTTTTACTCTGCAGCCCTCTTCCTCTTTTAAATCTGCAGCCTACCCTCTCTCTCTCTTTATTGCACCCTACTCTCCCCTCTTCTTACTCTGACCCGCCCCCTCTCTTCTTTTCTGCAGCCTCTCTCTCTTTCTTTTCTGAGCCTACCTCTCTCCCCTTTCCCTTGCGCCAATCCCCTCTCTCTTTTACTCTGCCCCTACTTTTCTCTCTTTTATTGCGGGCCACCTCTCCTCTATCTTTTTACTTGACCCACCTCCCCTTTCTCTCTCTCTTTACCTGCAGCCCCCTCTTTTCTCTCTTATCTGCAGCTCCCCTCTCTCTCTCTTCTTCTTTCTTTACTTGCCCCTCCTCTCTCTCTCTCTTTTCTGCAGTACCTCTCCCTTCTTTCTTTTACTCGGGCCCCTACCTCTCTTCCTCTTTTTACTCTGCAGCCTACCCCTTTTCCTCTCTCTCTTCCTTCCCCTTCTCTCTTTTATTGCAGCCTACCTTTTCCCCTTTTTACATGAGCTCCCTCTTCCTCTTTTTATTGACCCCTCCCTCTCTTTTCCTCTTTACTCGCAGCCTACTTCTCCCTTTTTTATTGCAGCCCCCCTTCTCTCTCTTTACTCTAAAGCATTTCTCTCTTTTACTCGCACCCCAACCCCTCCTCTCTTATCTGAGCTACCCTCTCTTTCCTTTACTCGCACCCTACCCTCTCCCCCTTTATCTGCAGCTACCTTCCTCCTCTCTTTATTGAGCCACCTCTTTCTCTTTCTCTTTACTCTGCGCCCCCCTTTTCACTCTCTTTTACTCGACCCTTTCCCCTTTTTATCTGAGCCCCCCCCCTTTTTCTCTTACTCCAGCCTCTCCTCTTTTCTCATTGCACCTACCCTCTTCTCTTTATTGCGCCTCCCTCTCTCTCTCTCTTTACTCTGCAGCCTCCCTCCCCTTTTTCGTATGCACCCTACCCTCTTCTCTCTTTTATCTGCAGCCTCTTCCGCCCCTTCTCTTTACTCGCACCCTCCCTCCTTCTCTCTTTATTTGCGCACCTCCTCTCTTTTCTTTACCTGACCTACCTCCCCCTTCTTTTACGCAGCCTACCCTTTCCTCTCTTTTCCCTTGCAACCAAACTTCCCCTTTCTCTCTTTTTTTTAGATACCCTTCCTCCTTTTAAATCGCAGCCTACCTCTCCCCTCTCTTTTCTCGTAGCCACCTCTCTTTTTGATTGCAGCTACCTCTTCGCTCCCCTTTTACTCTGGCCTCCCTCTCTCTTCTCTCTTTACCGCAGCCTACCTCTTTTCCTTTACTCTGACCTCCCTCTCTCTTTTTCTTTACTTGCAGCTACCCCTCCTCTTTACTCTGCAGCATACCTCTCTCTCTCTCTTACTTGCAGCCTCCTCCTTTCCTTTATTGACCCTACCTCTCTCTTTTTTTTATCGAGCCCCCCCTCTCTTTTCTCTGAGATCCCTCTCTCTTCTCTCTTTATTGCAGCCTACCTCTCTCTCTTTTTTTTCCCTTATTGCAGCCAAAACCTTTTCCTCTCTCCTTTACTCGCCCCACCTTTTCCCCTTTCTTCTTACTCTGCAGCCATTTCCCCCTTCTTTACTTGCGCCCCCCCTCTTCTCTTTTCTCTGCGGCCTACCTCTCTCTTTCTTTACTCTGCAGCTCCCCTCTCTCTTATCTGCAGCTACCTCTCTCTCTCTTTTATCTGAGCCCTACCTCCCCTCTCTCTCTTTTTTCTCTGCAGCCTATCTTTCGCCCTCTTTTTATCTAACCTACCTCCTCTCTCTTTTATCGCAGCCTCCTTTTCCCTTTTTTTCTCCGCTACCCCTTCGCTTCTTTATCGTACCTCCCTCCCCTCTCTTTTTCTTGTAGCCTACCTCTCTCTCTCTCTCTTTACTCTGCAGCCCCTCTCCGCTTCTTTTTTACTCGCACCCTACCTTTGCTCTGCTTCTCGCGCCTACCCTCTCGTTTTCTGTTACTTGCAGCCTACTCCTTTCTTTTACTTGACCCTACCTCTTCGTCTCTCTCTTTCCCTTGAGCCTCCTTTCCCCCTCTCTCCTTTATTGCAGCCTCCCTCCCTTTTCTTCTCTTTATCGACCCTACCTCCCCCCTTTCTTCTTTATCGCGTCCCTCTCCGTTTTATCTTTTTACTTGCAACTAAGTCTCTCTCTTCTTTATTGGGCCCCTACCTTCTTTTGTTTATTTGAGTACTTCCCTCTTTTTCCCTTGAGCCTACCCTCCCTCTCTTCTTTATTGAGCCTATTCTCTTCTTTATGCAGCCTCTCTCTCTTCTCTTTATCTCCCGCCTCCCTCTCTCTCTCTTTACTCTGCAGCCCATCTCTCTCTCTCTCTTTACTCTGCGCACCTCTTCTCTTCTTACTCTGCGCCCCCCTCTTTTCTTTACTCGAACCCTCTCCTCTTTCTTTACTTGCAGCCTCCCCTCTCCCTTCTCTTTACTTGAACCCTACCTCTTTCTCTTTCTTTTTTTGCAGCCCTACTCTCTATCTCTTTTTACTCTGCAGCCTACCCTTCTCTTTCTTATCGCCCCTACCTCCTCTCCTTCTTCTTTTTTGCAGCTACCCCTCCTCTTTTTTTCCTAAATTTCTCCCCTTTACTCTGACCTACCTCTCTTCTTATCTGGCCACCTTCTCCTTTTTTTATTTGCAGCCTACCTCTCTCTTCTTTACCTGAGCCCACCTTCTCTCTTTTTTTCCCCTCCCCTTACTCTCCCTCCTTTCTCTCTCTTTTACTCTGCAGCCTACCCCTCTCTCTCTTTACTCTGCAGCCTACCTCTCTCTCTCTCTTTTACTCCAAACCCACCTCTTTTCTTTTATTTGCACCCCTACTTCCCTCTTTTTTAAATTGAGCCTACTCTTTCTTTTACTTGAAGCATACCTCTCTTCTTTTTACTCTGACCCTACCCCCCCTCTTTTATTGCACTCCCCTTCCCTTTTTTTACTCTGCACCCTCCCCCTCTTCTCTTTACTTGCACCCTCCTCCCCTCCCCTCTTTTATCGGCCCCTCCTTTCCCTCTTCTTCTTTATTGCCGCCCCCCTCTTCTCTCTCTTTACCGGGCCCCCTACCCTATCTCTTTTCTCTTTACTGCAGCCAAACCTCTCCCTTTTTATTGCACCCTACCTTTCTCTTCTTTACTTGAAGCCACCTCCCCTTTCTTTTTTATTTGAGCCTACCCCCCTTCTCCTTTACCGCACCCTACTTTCCCCCTTTATCTGCAGCCTCCCCCTCTCTCTCTTTACTCTGCAGCATCCCTCTTCTCCCCTATTACTGCGCATTCTCTTTTTTTACCTGCACCCTACCCCTCTTCTTTACTCTGAGCCTCCCCCCCCTTTTTTTTTAATTGAGCCTACCTCTCTTTTCTTTTACTCGTACCCTACCTCTCTCTCTTCTTTACCCCGCCACCTTTCCCCCCCCTCTCTTTACTCTGTGCAAATTCTTTCTCTTTCTCTAAAAGGGCTACTTCCCTCTCTCTCTCTTATTTGTGCATACCCTTCTCTTCTTTACTCTGCAGCCTACTCTCCCTCTCTTTACTTGAGCCTATTTTTTCCCCCTTTTTTACTCTGCACCCCTACCCTCCTCTTTCTCTTACTTGCTGATCCTCTCTCTTCTTTATTGCAGCCTACTCTCCCCTCTTCTTATTGCTGAATATTTCCCTTCTCTTTACTTGCAGCAACCTCCTCTCTCTTTTATTGAGTCCCCCCCTTCCTTTATTGGGCCCCCTCCCCTCCCCCTTCCGTTACTCTGCAGCCCCCCTCCCTTTTCCCCTTTCAAATTGCAGCCCCTCTCCCTTTTCCCCTTTTTTTTCCCGCAGCCTCTCTCTTTCCCTTTATCGCGGGCCCCCCCTTCTCTTTCTTTACTCTGCAGCCCCCTTCTTCTTTTTACTCTGGGCCTCCTTCTTCTCTCCTTACTCGCACCCCACCTCTCTCTCTCCTTTATCTGCGCCTACCTTTTCCCATGTGGGGTGTTGGCCCACTTTGGATGGACCATCTCTCTCTACACCAAGGGGCCTGGACCAGGAGAGAAGAACCTCTCTCGGGTGGGGGTTTTGGGTTTAAGTCCGGCCAGTCCTACAGTACTGGGGTCTCCCTCAGGTCCAGTAGAGCCAAGAGACCAGGAACAGAACCAGCCGCAAAAGGCATCCAACCACACGATCCCCCCTGAGGAGGAGAGAGGAGGGGAGAGAGAGGGAGAGAGAAGGAGGAGAGGAGGGAAAGAAGATAGGGGGAGGAGGAGGAGAGAGAGAGAGGGAAGGAGGCAGGGGAGAGGGGGAGAAGGGGAGAGAGGGAGGAGAGGGGGAGACCCAAAATAAACCCCGAAAGGGGCCCAAAAAGGGGAGGGTTTGGAGGGGAGGGGGAAGGGGAGAAAAAGAGGAGAGGGAAAACCCGGGGGGGGTTGAGGGGAGCCCTTTTTAAACCCAAGGGGGGAAATTGAACGGGGGAACCCAACCCCGGTGTGGGATTCCCAAAAAAAGGAGGGGAGGAGAGAGGAAGGGGGGAGCGGGGAAAAATTCCCCCATGAGGGGAAGAGAGAGGGGAGAGAGGGGAGAGAGAGAGAAAGAGAGGGGGGGATAAAGAAAAGAGGAGGAGAGAAAGGAAAAAAGAGGTGGAAAGAGAAAAAAGGAAGCGTCTTTTCCCCTTTTTTTTTTTTAGAGAAAAGGGAAGGGTAGTGGGATTTTTATAGGGAGGGGGAAAGAAAGAAAGAGAAAAGGCATAAAAAAAAACAGACTTTTTTTCCTAATTTGGGAATTATTTTCCTGTTACATCCTTACTGTAATACAACCAACATCTCCCTTCCATTTTCAGTAACGTACCCTTACCTGTTTAAACCTACCCTTTTTGGAAAAAAAAGGGGAAAAACCATTACTTTTTACCGCCAAATGTATACCCGAAAAAAGAAGACCAAAATGATACGAAATGTGAAGATTAAGAAGCAATTTGTTTTTAGTTCCCCATTAATGGGGGGTTTTTTACCGAACCATTACATGTTATACCATAACATTACATGTTATACTGTACCTGTATGGTGAGGAAGAGGTATGTCAGGACCGGAACTATCAGGATGAAGAGCGGGGAGATGTAGCCAATCAGCAGCACTGTCACAAACACCTGCAGCCAACAGTAGAGCCAGGAGAGCAGGTGAGCGGGGACTAGCTCGTCAATCACGTACATCTCCTACAGAGAGAGAGACAGAGATACATTTTAACCTGTTTTCTATTCATCTTATAAAAAATCAAATTCTTATAGATCCTCTCTCACCTGTGATAGGCTGCACAGGACCAGAGAAGAGGGCGTGGTCTGGTAGAATCTGAGAGGAAGGCGGAGCCGAGCAAAGAGCAGCTCAGAGTGGAGACTGGCAGACGCCTTCAGAGAACCACCAGTTACTGCTAATGCTACACAGCACACGGACAGAGCTGAAACACACATATGCGAGTTAGACAGTGCACGCCCGCCCGCACGCACGCCCGCCTACACGCACGCACCTACCTTGCAGCAGCCCCAGTACAGCGTAGACAGATAGTCGTGAGTCTCGTAGTTCTCTCCACTCCTCCAGCCCCTGTAGTTCTTTAGCCTCCCTGGTCCACACAGCTAACAGGCCGGCCTGACACACACCCACCACACAAACACACACCTGGGATAATACAGTCAGCAACACCCAGCCCCAGCCACACACATCCAGGTACAGCCGAATACACACACCGCTCACCTGCAGGGAGAATACACACATGATTATTCAGTCATTTTGTAAACTGCAAGGTTGGGATTAGAAGAGGAATATACTGTGTTTTAACAGCTGACCTCGGGACAGATTCTGATTGTATTCTATGTGTAGATTGATCCTAGATCTGTGTACTCACACCATGTTTGGGCGGAGGTACAGTGTTTGCTTCTGTCTCTCTCAAGGTCTCATTACTGCACCTGTTAATGAGAGGGGACATTTTATGTATTTGTCGTGTGTGTGTGTGTGAGTGTGAGTGAGAGAGAAAGTGAGAGAAAAAGAGTGGGGGAAGGGTTAGTGAAGGAAAAGATGTGTATGTGTGTATGTCTCTATGTCTCAGCATGCATGACCACAGATCAGATATGATGAGTGAGAAGTCATAAAGGGAGGACCAGGTCAGGGCTCTGCTCTGTGTGTCTAATGCTCTTATCTCTGTGAGGGGGTTAATGTTGTGGATTAGAAAGCTTTGTAATTTGGCCTTTCTAACTCCCTCAAACACGCCATGACTCGCACACACACTCTACCTCTCATCTCTCTCAGCACAAACATCCCATCCCTCTCCACTCTCTCACACACACCAACCTCACCCCATCTCACCCTCATCTTTAAACTCACCTCAACCCGACCTTGCTGACATAATCTCTAATTTTCCCCTGCACAAACCCACCCCAACCCCTATCTGACCAATCAGACCAGCACAGATGAGAGACCCTTGTCCAATCAGAGGGCAGAGATTAGTTTGGGGATGAGCCTCGGTCAGTCCCTCGAGGTCGCATGTCAGCTGGCTAGTGGCCAGAGAAACTGTATTGTGTGTGTGTGTCTACATTTTACATTTACATTTTAGTCATTTAGCAGATGCTCTTATCCAGAGCGACTTACAGTTAGTGAGTGCATACATTATTATTATTTTTTTTTTTTTTTTATACTGGCCCCCCATGGGAAACGAACCCACAACCTTGGCGTTGCAAACGCCATGCTCTACCAACTGAGCCAAATCCCTGCCGGCCATTCCCTCCCCTACCCTGGACGACGCTGGGCCAATTGTGCGCCGCCCCATGGGTCTCCCGGTCGCGGCCGGCTACGACAGAGCCTGGATTCGAACCAGGATCTCTAGTGGCACAGCTAGCACTGCGATGCAGTGCCTTAGACCACTGTGCCACTCGGGAGACAATGTGTTTTGTCTATGTATGTCTGTGTGTGTGTGTGTGTGTGTGTGTATCTATGTGTGTGTGTCTATGTGTGTGTGTCTATATGTGTGTGTCTATGTGTGTGTGTATAATCCTTGTCATTATTGTGTAAGCAGGTTAGGTAATAACATAACACAACTACAGCTTACGGATGACAGGGGACTTGCTTTCTAGTTAATAAACAGAAACACACACACACTGATCTGAGTGCTCCTCGAGACAGCTTTTCTTGACCCCATTTCCTGAAGGAGTGCCATTCTCTGAAAAATAGATTCAGAAAGATTTAGAAAAAGGATTCCGGTACACACAGAGGGTAGAGGGTTAGATCAGGTCAGATTTGTACAGTATCATGCTAATGCTAGGTAAGTACAGTGAGGGAAAAAAGTATTTGATCCCCTGCTGATTTTGTACGTTTGCCCACTGACAAAGAAATGATCAGTCTATAATTTTAATGGTAGGTTTATTTGAACAGTGAGAGACAGAATAACAACAAAAAAATCCAGAAAAACGCATGTAAAAAATGTTATAAATTGATTTGCATTTTAATGAGGGAAATAAGTATTTGACTCCCTCTCAATCAGAAAGATTTCTGGCTCCCAGGTGTCTTTTATACAGGTAATGAGCTGAGATTAGGAGCACACTCTTAAAGGGAGTGCTCCTAATCTCGGCTTGTTACCTGTATAAAAGACCTGTCCACAGAAGCAATCAATCAGATTCCAAACTCTCCACCATGGCCAATACCAAAGAGCTCTCCAAGGATGTCAGGGACAAGATTGTAGACCTACACAAGGCTGGAATGGGCTACAAGACCATCGCCAAGCAGCTTGGTGAGAAGGTGACAACAGTTGGTGCGATTATTCGCAAATGGAAGCAACACAAAAGAACTGTCAATCTCCCTCGGCCTGGGGCTCCATGCAAGATCTCACCTCGTGGAGTTGCAATGATCATGAGAACGGTGAGGAATCAGCCCAGAACTACACGGGAGGATCTTGTCAATGATCTCAAGGCAGCTGGGACCATAGTCACCAAGAAAACAATTGGTAACACACTACGCCGTGAAGGACTGAAATCCTGCAGCGCCCGCAAGGTCCCCCTGCTCAAGAAAGCACATATACAGGCCCGTCTGAAGTTTGCCAATGAACATCTGAATGATTCAGAGGAGAACTGGGTGAAAGCGTTGTGGTCAGATGAGACCAAAATGGAGCTCTTTGGCATCAACTCAACTCGCCGTGTTTGGAGGAGGAGGAGGAATGCTGCCTATGACCCCAAGAACACCATCCCCACCGTAAAACATGGAGGTGGAAACATTATGCTTTGGGGGTGTTTTTCTGCTAAGGGGACAGGACAACTTCACCGCATCAAAGGGACGATGGCCGGGGCCATGTACCATCAAATCTTGGGTGAGAACCTCCTTCCCTCAGCCAGGGCATTGAAAATGGGTTGTGGATGGGTATTCCAGCATGACAATGACCCAAAACACACAGCCAAGGCAACAAAGGAGTGGCTCAAGAAGAAGCACATTAAGGTCCTGGAGTGGCCTAGCCAGTCTCCAGACCTTAATCCCATAGAAAATCTGTGGAGGGAGCTGAAGTTTCGAGTTGCCAAACATCAGCCTCGAAACCTTAATGACTTGGAGAAGATCTGCAAAGAGGAGTGGGACAAAATCCCTCATGAAATGTGTGCAAACCTGGTGGCCAACTACAAGAAACGTCTGACCTCTGTGATTGCCAACAAGGGTTTTGCCACCAAGTACTAAGTCATGTTTTGCAGAGGGGTCAAATACTTATTTCCCTCAATAAAATGCAAATCCATTTATAAAAATGTTGACATGCGTTTTTCTGGATTTTGTTGTTGTTATTCTGTCTCTCACTGTTCAAATAAACCTACCATTAAAATTATAGACTGATCATGTCTTTGTCAGTGGGCAAACGTACAAAATCAGCAGGGGATCAAATACTTTTTTTCCTCACTGTATGTGTGTGTGTGTGTATTACACACTACACAGGTGTATCTCTGTAGTTAGTTACCATAGTTAACTGTGTGAGAGACTTCCTGTGAAAAGAGGAAGTGGTCCAGATTGCAGAGGGAGTGCCAGGCCTGTCAATCAAAAAGAAACAGGGCGGGGTTAGGCAGAAGTCTTTATTGAGTGTGTTACCTGTAAATACCTGTGTGTGTGTGTATGTGTGCGGGTGTGTGTTACCTGTGTGGGTGGTGGGTGGGTGTGTTACCTGTGTGATGCGCAGTGCCAGGGAGGGCAGTAGGTTAAAAGGTGAGCGTAGCAGTGTGAACAGACAAACACAGGTGAACACCTGAGACGCTGTCAGAACATTACCATCATCCACCAGCACATACACACCCAAACTGGACACACACACCTGTAGAGACACAGAGAAAGGGGAGTGTGTGTGTGTGTGTGTGTTAGTACATGTTAATCATCCATCACCATCTACAGTATCTATCAGTCCCACAATAACAATCACAGACCAAACTATCCGATCCCAGATCCATTCATCAATAATCACTGATCCTTATCTGTGATCCGGTCAATCAGGGTTAATCTTACACATTATTATAACATCTAATATCCTTTCCAGTGCTTTATGTGCATGTTAGGTTTGTCCCTCCAGGGCTCAGGTAGGCAGACACCAGTCAGGACAGAAAGCTGTGATTGGATGCTGATTGGATCCCTCTGATTGCATATCAGCTTATGGGTCAGAGAGGTGGGAGGAAGATTATGACCGAAAAATGAAACGCACGCAATGTCCCAGACATTACTGATCAGCTTAGGACAGCGCTAAGCAACTACCCTCTCTATCTGGCCAGGGGACACACTAAAGTAGGGTGCTTTTTAAACACTTTAAACACATTAACAAAGCTTATGTAGGTCTACTTTCTCATCAGCATTGATGATATTGCCACTTTTGTACTGTTTAGTGACTGAATTAGGCAGCCTTGGTCCTGGAGAGCTACAGTGTCGGCAGAGGCTCAGCTGGTGTCCCAGTCTAACACTGACCTGCAGCCTCTACTGCACCTGTCTGTTAGGGTATTTCTGAGGGAGAGAGATGTCAGGAGAGGTCAGCGGTCAAAGACGGAGCTCCGCCACCTACCAGGAAAGGCACACAGACGCGGTCCAATAGGGAGAAGGCCGTCAGGAATCCCAGAATCCTCCGCGTCTCCAGCTCCTTCTCTCTGGCAATGCCCACTCTGCGCTGGAACCACGCCTCCAAGACCAACAACTTCACCGTCTAGAAGGATAGAGGGAGGAAGATAGAGAGGAAGTGGGAATAGAGAGAGTTGAGTACAACAGATATGAGATCACTTAGAAAAAGAGAAAGAGACAAGAGCCAAGGAGTCTTGAGGCTACTAAGAAATTGAAGAAGAGTGCAAGAGACAGACCTTGATTCCGTTCAGCATCTCCTGCAGGAGCTGCTCTCTTTCTCCCCTCAGTCTTTCCTGGCTTCTCTGAGGGGGAAAAGACAGTGTTACACACATACACAGGTCTGTGCCACGCAGCCACACACACCCACATGTACAAACACGCTCTCTCTGTTACCTGTAATAGCCTTGCCCTGCGTTGTACAGCAGAGGTGAGAGGTACCAGCAGTATCAATACAGCTAGTCCTGCCAGAGCAGAAGGACCCAGCTCTCTCCATAGCAGGCATGCACACACTGTCCCCTGCACCCAGGAAGACCACAGGGCAGACAGAGAGACTGGGAGCTCTGCTAGCCGTCCAACGTCACCCCGGAGTGGAGTTAACGATGGGGCAGGGGAGGGTAGACACCCAGGAATCCTGCACTGGGACAGGGCCTACAGCAGAGAAGGGAGAGGGAAGAGAGAGGAGGTGAAGGTTAGGGGGGGGGTGTAAGGGCAAGGAGGGCAAGCGTTTAACAGTATTATTTTATTTTCTTGAATGTATGTTCACTGAGAGAGAGAGCGGTGGAGGTCTCTGTACCTGTTTATACAAGGCTCCAGTCAGCGCTGTCTGAACTCTGACCTCAGTCATCCTGCTGTGACGCTCACACACCTGCTGGACCAGGGCGTGGCACACTACAGCAGCCAATAGTGCCAGGGCATGGGTAAGTCCCGACCAATCAAAGACAGGCTGGTTCTCACAGTAGAGAATGCCACACCTGGGGGACAGGTGAGGCGGTGGGGTGTAAGGAAGATGGTATCTATCACCTGTGTATATTCTTGCCGAATCTAGAAGTTCTGTGCTATTACACTTTTATAAATGCTTTATTACATTTTTTACAGATTCATTCAGCAATATGGGAACAATATGCATTTGAAGATAATGCCAAAGGAAATATTTACGTGTGTGTGTACATGAGTGTGTTTATGTGTGTGTGTTTGTGTGTGTGTACCTGAGGGCCTGAGGGGGCAGGAGGGCCAGTAGGTCAGAGGTCATCCTCAGCAGGGTCACCTGGAGCAGTGAGGGGCGGAGCCACCCACACAGGTGACACAGCAGGGCGGGGCCAGACAGGTGAACACCTGGGTGGGAGGTGTTTCCACCCCGTGACTCCTCCTCCTCTCCTAACTCCTGGCTATGACTCTGTCCCTCTGTCTTCCGGTGCTGCTGGAGGGCGGAGCATAAACTCTGGGCTGAGTCCTCATCGCCAAGGCAACACAGGTCCGACAGCTGTAGCCCCCTCCTATGGCCCGCTGACACAACTCTGACAGCAACCACAGCACAAAGGACATCATCAATCAAAAAATCTGCCAGTTACGTAACACACATCAGATACAGTATGTTTAATGATAATGATGCATCTAATGTGAAAATGTTGATATTCAGTGTTACCTGTTAATCCACCAGCAGGACAACTGGCTGAGGAAGGAAACATCCCTCTCCAGAGCTGTCTTCTGTCCCATGCAGAGAGGGAGTAGAGGGAAAAGAGAGTGGCAAACTCATTCAACTGTAACATAGGCCTACTGTTCTTTTCACCAGTTAACCATCAATACGAGCAAATAGGTTTAGACTACCCTTCTTTTGTATTCTTTAATTTTGGGTAAAGGGTATAAACGATTAGTCTTTAATTAATTGTATTTTATTATTATAGCTTCTGCTTTTATTGATTGCTGTATACATACAATGTATCATAATTATCACATTGTTTAAAAGTCTATCAGGCTTGTTTAAAAAAATAAATATGAACCATCGTTTTAAACCTGTGACCTCTAAAGCATAGGCTACTTTTATATGGCCTAGCTCGTCCGTAGCGAAGACTCCGAACAGACACTATAAACCCCACAGAAACAACAAAAGAACGAGAAAAGAAAGAACATAAAATGAGGAAAATTTTTAACTCACCTGTTCTCCGCCCCATCTGCCGGAGAGATAGAGAGACATACCTGAGGAGGGACGCACACGCCAGTTTGGCCCCGAGCGAGGGGATGGAGTGGAAGAAGATGGAGGGGACAATAGCTCGCGGGGTGAATGGGCTACTGTACTAGTATGTCCACATCTGCACGCGCCCCAGTAGCAGCAGACTGAGAGCAGCACGCGACATTAGGCTATAATCTGGTCCATTTCATAACAGAAAACAATTTGAAAGCACGATATAAGCCCCAACTTGACAATTTACGCCTGGTGACCTCTTTTCTTTGTTGTTGGCTTTTGCGGTTTTTAAATATCCGTTTCCATTGTCGTTGCATGGCTATGACTGATTGAATGAATGGATGGATGAATGCTGAAGGAGCGTAAAGCGTATTGTAGAATCCCGCTGGCTGCCTGCGGGAGAGGGGCGTGTCTAGGGGCGTGTTTTATGGCTGTCAAAATTCTGACAAAAAGTTCCTTGGCTGCGTTTACATAGGCAGCCCAATTCTGATCTTTTTTTCCCCACTAATTGGTCTTTTGACCAATTACATCAGATATTTTTCAGAGCTGATCTGATTGGTCAAAAGACCAATTAGTGGGAAAAAAAAGATCAGAATTGGGCTGCCTGTGAGGACGGAGCCCACTGAGACGGTTTCCACTAGATACCACAGCGACAAAGACAGATTCCACAGCCACAAAGTCAAATTTGGCACACAAAGAAAATTGCGTTTTGGTCTTAATTTAAGGCAGGGCTGCCAACTTTTGAAGAAAGCTTGGAGTGAGATTTTGCCTAGATGGGGTCTGGCTCTTCCATCAATCCTATTAGCCAACATACATTCATTTGAAAACAAAATGGACGACCTAAGATCAAGGATATCCAACCAACGGGACATTAAAAACTGTAATATCTTATGTTTCACCGAGTAGTGGCTGAACGACGACATGGATAACATACAGCTGGCGGGATAGACGCTACATCGGCAGGATAGAAAGGCTGACTCCGGTAAGACAAGGGGTGACGGTCTGTATATTTGTAAACAACAGCTGGAGCATAAATAGTAAGGAAGTCTCAAGGTTTTATTCGCCTGAGGTAGAGTATCTCATGATAAGCTGTAGACCACACTATCTACCAAGAGAGTTTTCATCTATATTTTTCGTAGTTGTCTATTTACCACCACAAACCAATGCTGGCACTAAGATTGCACTGAATGAACTGTATAAGCAGTGTTGCCAACTCCTCAGGAAATAAAGTAGCTATTGGCTGTCCTAAAAGTCGCTAAATGACATCATCACCTAACTTGCGTAATTGGCCATGTGCATGTATTTGTGATGGACGCTGTAGGAGAGAGGAATAACGTCGTGGGAAAGACAAAAAGTGAGTAAAAAACACCCTACATTTACATCCCGCCCTGAATGTAAGCCAGGGCAGGATCAGCCAGCGGTGGCTTCCCGCATGCGCAATTAATTTGCAGTCTGGACGCGGAGGGGTGAACATCTCCTGCTCTGACTGCAGCTGGGAGGGACTGCAACGCGAGGACTGGGCTGCCTGTGAGTGCTTTGGGACGGGGGTGGGGCCCACGGCAGCACCCGCTGCTCGTTGAGAAGAGTAAGAACAATACGTGCTTTCATGTCAGTCTCCAAAAGTCTCCAATAACACCAGGAAAAAGTTGCTAGATTTGTCACTAGTTGCTTTTTTGAAAATGTGTCGCTAGAGGGGTCTGAAAACTCGCTAAATATAGCGACAAAGTCGCTAAGTTGGCAACACTGTGTATAAGGCCATAAGCAAACAGGAAAACGCTCATCCAGAGGCAGCGCTCCTAGTGGCCGGGGTCTTTAATGCAGGGAAACTTAAATCCGTTCTACCTAATTTCTACCAGCATGATAAATGTGCAACCAGAGGAAAAAAAACTCTAGACCACCTTTACTCCTGGCTATGACTCCGTCCCTCTGTCCTCCGGTGCTGCTGCTGCTGGAGGGCGGAGCATAAACTCTGGGCTGAGTCCTGTGGGGATCTGGATGTGATACCTAGCTTAGAAAGAATGCATTAATGATTAAGCATAAAAGGTTTGTACTGTACTGATATAAATTGTTTAACCTAACAAGCTGTGATTAATGTGAGGAGCTGTTTTAGGGAGTAGGGGGAGATAAGAACTTGTGTCTCACAATACCCGAACACTGCCTCTTTGTGATCTGTGAACCGTCCAAGGACGTGTACTGCAAAAGTGCTGACTTTCTGGATAAGTTGCAAAACTACTAGACACCTGGCAACAGTGGAGCGCCAAGGGGCTGGGACCAGCCTGAGCGCCAGCGATAGGTTGGGCAAGTCTAAACCACGCCCAACCTCTACTCTGATTGGCCAGCAGGGAGCGGGAACTATCTCTGTCAGAGTATTTTAAGAAGAACTCATAACAATGGCTTAGTTCTCTGAGTGCCCTGTGTGGTATTTCAGTGGACCCGTATATATACGAACATCATATTTACCATTGAAGTGGTTTGCATTAATTAAAATACTAGTCTATTTTAGAAGACGTGTATTGACCTCTTTTGTTCCAAATACCAGATTTGAATTGACGCAACTTAACAGTCCTCATCGCCAAGGCAACACAGGTCCGACAGCTGTAACCCTCTTCTATGGCCCGCTGACACAACTCTGACAGCAACCACAGCACAAAGGACATCATCAATCAAACAAATCTACCAGTTACGTAACACACATCAGATACAGTATGTTTAATGATAATGATGCATCTAATGTGAAAATGTTGATATTCAGTGTTACCTGTTAATCCACCAGCAGGACAACTGGCTGAGGAAGGAAACATCCCTCTCCAGAGCTGTCTTCTGTCCCATGCAGAGAGGGAGTAGAGGGAAAAGAGAGTGGCAAACTCATTCAACTGTAACATAGGCCTACGGTTCTTTTCACCAGTTAACCATCAATATGAGCAAATAGGATTAGACTACCCTTCTTTTGTTTTCTTTAATTTTGGGTAAAGGGAATAAACAATTAGTCTTTAATTAATTGTATTTTATTATTATACCTTCTGCTTTTATTGATTGCTGTATACATAAAATGTATCATAATTATTACATTGTTTAAAAGTCTATCAGGATTGTTTAAAAAAATAATTATGAACCATCCTTTTAAACCTGTGACCTCTAAAGCTTAGGCTACTTGTACAGTGGGGAAAAAAAGTATTTAGTCAGCCACCAATTGTGCAAGTTCTCCCACTTAAAAAGATGAGAGAGGCCTGTAATTTTCATCATAGGTACACGTCAACTATGACAGACAAATTGAGGAAAAAAAATCCAGAAAATCACATTGTAGGATTTTTAAATAATTTATTTGCAAATTATGGTGGAAAATAAGTATTTGGTCAATAACAAAAGTTTCTCAATAGTTTGTTATATACCCTTTGTTGGCAATGACACAGGTCAAACGTTTTCTGTAAGTCTTCACAAGGTTTTCACACACTGATGCTGGTATTTTGGCCCATTCCTCCATGCAGATCTCCTCTAGAGCAGTGATGTTTTGGGGCTGTCGCTGGGCAACACGGACTTTCAACTCCCTCCAAAGATTTTCTATGGGGTTGAGATCTGGAGACTGGCTAGGCCACTCCAGGACCTTGAAATGCTTCTTACGAAGCCACTCCTTCGTTGCCCGGGCGGTGTGTTTGCGATCATTGTCATGCTGAAAGACACAGCCACGTTTCATCTTCAATGCCCTTGCTGATGGAAGGAGGTTTTCACTCAAAATCTCACGATACATGGCCCCATTCATTCTTTCCTTTACACGGATCAGTCGTCCTGGTCCCTTTGCAGAAAAACAGCCCCAAAGCATGATGTTTCCACCCCCATGCTTCACAGTAGATATGGTGTTATTTGGATGCAACTCAGCATTCTTTGTCCTCTAAACACGACGAGTTAAGTTTTTACCAAAAAGTTCTATTTTGGTTTCATCTGACCATATGACATTCTCCCAATCCTCTTCTGGATCATCCAAATGCACTCTAGCAATCTTCAGACGGGCCTGGACATGTACTGGCTTAAGCAGGGGGACACGTCTGGCACTGCAGGATTTGAGTCCCTGGCAGCGTAGTGTGTTACTGATGGTAGGCTTTGTTACTTTGGTCCCAGCTCTCTACAGGTCATTCACTGGGATTGCGCAGGTGTGGTTCTGGGATTTTTGCTCACCGTTCTTGTGATCATTTTGACCCCACGGGGTGAGATCTTGCGTGGAGCCCCAGATCTAGGGAGATTATCAGTGGTCTTGTATGTCTTCCATTTCCTAATAATTACTCCCACAGTTGATTTCTTCAAACCAAGCTGCTTACCTATTGCAGATTCAGTCTTCCCAGCCTGGTGCAGGTCTACAATTTTGTTTCTGGTGTCCTTTGACAGCTCTTTGGTCTTGGCCATAGTGGAGTTTGGAGTGTGACTGTTTGAGGTTGTGGACAGGTGTCTTTTATACTGATAACAAGTTCAAACAGGTGCCATTAATACAGGTAACGAGTGGAGGACAGAGGAGCCTCTTAAAGAAGAAGTTACAGGTCTGTGAGAGCCAGAAATCTTGCTTGTTTGTAGGTGACCAAATACTTATTTTCCACCATAATTTGCAAATAAATTAATAAAAAATCCTACAATGTGATTTGCTGGATTTTCTTTTCTCAATTTGTCTGTCATAGTTGACGTGTACCTATGATGAAAATTACAGGCCTCTCTCATCTTTTTAAGTGGGAGAACTTGCACAATTGGTGGCTGACTAAATACTTTTTTCCCCCACTGTATATGGCCTAGCTCGTCGGTAGCGAAGACTCCGAACAGACACTATAAACCCCACAGAAACAACAAACGAACGAGAAAAGAAAGCACATAAAATGAGGAAAAAATTTAACTCACCTGTTCTCCGCCCCATCTGCCGGAGAGATAGAGAGACATACCTGGTAAATGTGCAACACCATTTGGCAAATCTGACCATAATTCTATCCTCCTGATTCCTGCTTATAAGCCAAAACTAAAGCAGGAAGCACCAGTGACTCGGTTAATAAGGAAGTGGTCAGATGACGCAGATGCTAAGCTACAGGACTGTTTTGCTAGCGCAGACTGGAATATGTTCCGGGATTCTTCCGATGCAATTGAGGAGTACACCACATCAGTCACTGGCTTCATCAATAAGTGCATCGATGAAGTCGTCCCCACAGTGACCGTACGTACATACCCCAACCAGAAGCCATGGATTACAGGCAACATCCGCACTGAGCTAAAGGGTAGAGCTGCCGCTTTCAAGCAGCGGGACTCTAACCCGGACGCTTATAAGAATTCCCGCTATGCCCTCCGACGAACCACCAAACAGGCAAAGAGTCAATACAGGACTACACCGGCTCCGACGCTCGTTGGATGTGGCAGGGTTTGCAAACTATTACAGACTACAAAGGGAAGCACAGCCACGAGCTGCTCATTGACACGAGCCTACCAGACGAGCTAAATCACTTCTATGCTCGCTTCGAGGCAAGCAACACCAAGGCCCTGAGTTCCTCCAACACTCAGAAGATCAGTGGCCTTATATGCCTTCTGCTGACCCGGAGCCCGATGACAGCGAACTGAAGAAATCAGCCTTCTGCGAACATATGTCTGTCAGTTCCAGTCCTCAGCTCCCAGATATCAGCAAGTTTGATACATGGAAAGGCCTCATGAAGGCAACAACTAGATCCCTACACGGGGCGGCCGATCCACTCTCCAGTTCACCCAGCGAAGCAGCAGACTACATAGCTGCAGAGAACCTCCTCCTGAAGCAAGCTCAGATGGAATCGTTCAAGGCCGTCATGTCAAACCAGTCTATACATTCTACAAGTCGTCTGGGTCCCTTATCTCCTGAGTATCATAAGGATTCAGGACTCCTCAGAGTTGGCGGTAGACTGAAGAGCAGAGCACCTGGAGATGGATGCTATGCACCCCATCGTCTTGGATCCGCATCATCCGCTGACCAAGTTACTCATTCAAGATTTTGATGAGACGCTCCTCCATCCCGGCCCAGATAGGGTTCTGGTGGAACTGAGTCGTAGATACTGGATTCTGCTAGCAGGATTTATTTAAATTATTTTCATAGTTACAAATCAGGTTACCCTACCAAACTTCCCTGCTAAAACATACTGTAGGTCTGTCTGCTGCCTTTTCATTGTCACAGCCTAAAAACCAATCTCGAAACAAGGGGACTAAAGTGTGGATTAAATCGACTGTAGTACATGCTGTCAAAAGTCTGCATTCTGCAATAGGGATGGGAGTAACAGCAACATAATTTTGTTGACAACAATGTACATAAAACAGCGCCACCGTGCTGCTCTTTTTACAGTTTTATAAACTAAGCGGAGAACGTTCTCTCTCTCTGTTCAGCTCCATTCTAATCTTGAGGGGCGTTTCTTTTAAAATGCGCATCCAATCCCCTTGATTCCTTACATAACTACACCAATCATATGCTTCAGTGTGTCACGGGTCACAGTGCTGTGGCAAGACAATGATAGAGGTTTCGTGTGTGATGTTAAATTGCGGTCGCAGATGCTCCGATTTCAAAACGATTTGGAGCACAGTTGAAAAGTTAACGCACTATATACAATGGAGTAATTAGACAAATAAAAGCAGTACTTTCCAATGCGTGAGATATAAGAGGTGTGGCGTGTGAGCATGAGAAGAGGGTCAAATGCGTCTCACGACCAATGCGTGAGAGTTGGCAGCTCTATTAAAGTTAGGTTGAGGCATTAGGTTAGTAGTGTGGTTAATGTTAGGGTTAGTTTTCAAATCAGATTTTCTGTAGATAAATTGTAGAAATGGATGGGGTTTTGTGGCTGTGTTAAGTAGTGACAACCCACTGAGACCGAGGCAAGCCAGCGGTGCGTGTGGGTTGGGGGTAGAGGAATGGACTGAATAATGTAGGCTAGTAATCACAATGTACAGAAAAAAATGGGGAGTCAATGGAATAAAATGAATATAAGGTTTAAAAAGAAAATGTAAGCCTGAACAGAATGTCTTGTAATCTGTTTTCTTTTTGGGGGGGCAGTGTCTCTGCTTCTTTGTGAATTTCCCAAATGACCATCTGGACAAATGGACATTGGACAAAATGCAGTCAGTGCCCAATGAAAATAACTGTCAACATAAGTAATCCGACCCATGGGCGATTTTCAACAATCAATTAAGAATAGCCTAAATGCGACTTTAAGTAAACTGTTTCTCAGAATTGAAATGAGGTTAATCAATGTTGTTTAAAAGCTGAAGGAAAAACAACAACTTGTATTTAAAGCCTACAAAACCTTTGAAATGCCAAGAGGTCTGGACCTGTTGATCGCTTGACCTGTAGGTTAATTATCTGCAAGCTCATTATGAAATAGATCCACCTGCAGATTAACTTCTCTCTCTATGACAGTGGGTCCCAAACTAGGGGTCGCGACCCCATGTGGGGTATGAAAAATGGGGTCGCTGGAGAATTTCCAAAATACTGAGAAAAAAATATACAGTACCAGTCAAAAGTTGACACACCTACTCATTCAAGGGTTGTTCTTTATTTTTACTATTTTCTACATTGTAGAATAATAGTGAAGACATCAAAACTATGAAATAACACATATGGAATCATGTAGTAACCAAAAAAGTGTTAAACAAAACAAAATATATTTAATATTTGAGATTCTTCAAAGTAGCCTTTGCCTTGATGACAGCTTTGCACACTCTTGGCATTCTCTCAACCAGCTTCATGAGGTAGTCACCTGGAATGCATTTCAATTAACAGGTGTGCCTTCTTAAAAGTTCATTTGTGGAATTTCTTTCCTTCTTAATACGTTTGAGCCAATCAGTTGTGTTGTGAC